AAGGGATTTTTGGTAATTAATGAAAGAGTAGGGAAAGGAAGTAATTTCTTTATTATACTATGTCATTTGCCTAATTTTTTTCCTAATAATAACTCATATTAATTGTGACCTTTTAGACGTTTTGGGCTGCTGCTATATTTATTGTGAACTTTTAGATGTTTTGGGCTGCTACTGAGTAATTAATTACTCTTATTTAGTGTGATCTTTTAATGCATCGATTATTATTTTTGTAGGAAAAAACTCAGATTTTATTTTTTATTAAAAAGATAAAATAGATAATTGCAAATGCTGGCCATTGGAGGCTGCCACATCAGCGATTCTAGATTCAGCTTTATATATATATATCCTATTATCGAATAAAGAGAAAAGGAAAACAAAGAAACCCCTCTATAAGTAGTTGTTTAGCATAGGTATCATTGGTGATGTAGAATATGTCTTAGAGTATTTTACCATAGTCCTATAATTAGTCAGGACGAAGGCCGATGTGTACAATCTCATGGGTGAATCTAGATCCACGAGAACTTAATAATTTCTGCTTAAATCATTTTTATGTATTAAAATATAATACGCATTAAATTTTATAAATTTCTAAATGTGAACCTTGTTATTTTGTATATATTTTAACTTAAAGTTAGTATAGAAATTCATATATTATAAATTTGGATCATGGAGCCTAAGGGAATGCAGAAGCAAAAAAAAAGAAAATTAGAAAAAAAGGGCCCAACCGGGTTCGAACCGGTGACCTCTTGATCTGCAGTCAAATGCTCTACCACTGAGCTATGGACCCATTGTTGTGATTTAATAGCGAGTTAAATTTATATAGAAATGTCTATTAAGTCAGTGTTATGATTTGGGCGCATGACACCAAACTTACTGTTTATCTTTTGAAGTATTTATCAGGAGTCAGGACTCTTATATTTATCCAATATATATGGTTATTTTGGTGTCATTATTACTCTTTTGTTGATCTTTATAATCAATTTTTAATAAATTAATGATATTTAGTAGTTTTAAAAAAAATTCATATATAGAAATAAGAAAACTGAAAGTAACTCATCAGATAGGAAGTCGTATTATTGCTTATGTACGATTGAAGAACGTAACGAGAGTCAATAACACTTAATATTTCTTTTTAAAATACATAGTAAAATTTTATATATTTACTTGTCACTGATCTTCATGTTTTTTTATCCTATATCTAAACAATTATTATATTTTATTATTTCGTTCTTTGAAAGTATTCTATTTTTATTCATGAATGAGTGTTTTAATTATATTTATTACTAATGGCTAGTTTATTGATTTTTTTTCTTTTAAGGAGATAAATTGCTTGTATTATAGTCATATATTTAAGAAACTGTGATTCTTTGTTTGAGAGTTCAGAATACGTTAGTGTTAATTTGCATCTCATAATAACTTGTATATCATCATTGCATTATTTCTACTTGCAAAATGATGCTAGACTTTTGTTTTCTTTAGTTTCTATAATCACGGTTTAATTTTTTTTTAAATGATTAATATAATTTTTTTGGGGATAGAATACTTTAATCATTAGTTTTTAATTAATATTAATAATTTATTATTTAATTTTTATCAAGGTGAAATATTTTATTCACGTGAAATGTCATGTGTCTAGATTTTTCAAATAAAAGAGAGAGTGCACTACATACATGAGGTGTGTTTCTCAAACTAATAAGTAATAAGTGATAGTTTAGGTATGAAACTCACACTCTCAATAATTGAAGTATCAAACTCAAAAAAGAAAAGAAAAATAGTTTCAGTATATTTTTGACACTTATCTCAATAAAAAATAAAAATTCATGACATTTATACCTCGCTCCATATTAAGTAAAATATCCTGCCTCATGTCTCCACCTCTAAAATATTGTTCCCTTCTGTCATGTCATTTTAACTTGCAAACAAATTTATTTCTATTTTGAACAAATTTTTGGTAGCATGTTGGGCGTTTTGTTGACTTGCACAAATAACTAGTTGACCTAGCTAATTATTCATATTCGGGAGGAGTTAGGTTGGGGTTTGTGGGTTCGGATGAATTCAATAGCTTTTTCGTAGACTCAATATTTATATTAGAAAATTAAGTATTAACTTATGAATCCTAAACAAAACTGATTTACAATTCAATGATAAGGACAGAGAAGGAAATTTAGAACCCCCCAAACTCCTAATACTGGCTCCACCCTATTTATATCACATAATTATTCAACGATAACCTTTTCTTGAGTTCATTACTTAAATGGTCCTTCAATTATCTATGCTTATATATAACATTTCAATATGTCACTCAACCAATCAAATATCTATTTACTCTCTAAATTATCAATTTATCATTATTATTTTTACTTTTGAATATTATGATATTTTTTTCTCTTTCTAATCTATGTTATGGATCTAACTATATAAAAAATAATAAATTTTAGGTTTAGCAAACATAAAAATCATATTTGTATGTTATAGCTATAGTTTGCATAATATGTTTGCTATGGAGCATCCGATTTGTATAAATTCCAGGCAGGCATCTCGTTTGTATAAAAGCGCAGCGATTGTATATGTATATCAGCTAGATAATTGTATATATGTAACTACTATGTATATTTATCAATGATTGTGTTTGTATATCTGCATAAAATTTGAATTTGTATACAATTGAATCGAAATAAAACATTTGTATATCAAATCTCTCTCTCTCGCTTTATACAACACAAATTATACAATTACGTATAAAGTGAGAAAGAGAAAAAGGCAAGGGAGAACTGGTAGGGAAAGATCTATATTTGCATAATTATAAGTGTATAGGACGAAAATGTATAAATTTGTATTTGTATATACAGTTTTCTCTCGCTTTATACAAACACAGACACAATTTATACATTTGTGTTTGTATAAAGTGAGAGAGGCGAAGGAGAGTGGCGAACGAGATTTCTGGGGAGAGAGGTGAATTACAAGTGTTTGCTATGAATTAGAATTAAATGAAACTGTGGTTATAACATTTAATTTGAATTAACAATTTGCTATTTTATACAATTTTCCCTATAAAAATATCTATAAAGTAAGAAAGTAAAAATTAAAAGTTCAAACATATCTTACGGGAGACAATAAAATAAGTTAGCACAATTTTCAAGCATATATAATGTATAATATAAAATATACCACTATTTGATTTTTTTATTTTTATGGCATGCATTGAATATATATGTTTTAAAAAGCTTCTATTCCCTTTCATCTTCAATCATGTAAACACGTTTTTGAGTTTTGGTTATATTTATTAAAGTCAATTGGCTACAATTGCATTTAATTGAGCCAAATTCTCAAATTAAATCTAGCACTTTTTATTTTTATTTGCAAATTTGATCATTTGCCTTTCAACTCTTTTAATGGATTCCCTTTGTGCTTAAGCCAAAGTTGGGCCAATTTATAAGGCCAACTTCATTTGCAATTCCTCCAGCACACCCGGCCCAAACCCATCCTTTCAACAATACCCAGCATACATACATACATTGGTATACAACGGATACCAGTACACCCACGCTCTCCTCTTTCCCTTATTCTTTCCGTACGCAAATCCTACAAGAACATTCTTGAATTTGAAATTCGAATTTGGTACTATTGCTAGCCGTTTGAACCAAGAATTTGAATGCATTCTAGACCTCATCCGATTTCCCCCCCAAAAATCCCCTCTATTTAAACCCCCCTTTTACCTTCAATTTTGGGGGATGATAAAAGATAGAGGTTGGAAAATACAAGAAATTCACCAAGCATAGACAGGCAAAAATCCAAATAGTGTTTATATCACTGAGATTTCTGGGTCCTCTTCGAGTTTCCGTCGTTGGTGGTTGAAATCAGCTCACCCAAGGTCGTCGTTGTTCCAGTGTAAAGGTAATGTTTCCTCCATAATCTTCTCTTCGTCTTCTTCTATTTCTAATACTCTGTTGTTGTGTCATTGTTATTTGTAGATGACTTCAATTTTCTATATATATAAATGTGTGTTTTCTTAATCGATTTTCTTGATTCAATCTTAATGTGGAAGTCGGGTTTTGCCGTTTTGTATTGTCGCTTCTTTGTTTGAATCCGTTATCGATTACTAACTATTCTTCTGGTATGCTTGATGATATGTCGTAGAATCTCTCTTCTTCCGTTTTCATTGTCTGTAAACCCAAGTTTTACATTAAGTTTTGCTACTGTCAATGATGATTTCTTTTCAAAATAAGGATAGCATCTCGAAAGCGAAGGTTGTTTGTGTTTTATCTATTGTTTTGTTGATGTAGTAGTTTGTTTTCAAATCCCCTGTTCGTTCTACTGCTTAGTTTGAATCAAATTTGTGTTTCCATCTGCCTAAATTTTAGTCGAAAGTGCTCACCATTTGTAGTTAAGCTCATAAGGTGTTACTGATTGTAGTTTGCTTCAATTCTTGTTTTACTTTCACAGTCGTTGCCTATTTCTCTTTTCTGATCATCTTGGCCTGCTCATATTTTCAATCTTTCTAAGTCTTTGAAGTTTCGCTTTGTTAAAAGTTTGAGTTAAATAAAATATAATGGGTCAATCTTGTTCTCTTAGGGTCACTAGTCCCTGCGTTGTTTTTTTCTTTAGCATATTTTTCTTTTTTATTTTGGTTAGTAATCCTCTTATCTTGTTGGCCTTATTGTTCAATTCATAAAAGATTAGGAAGTGTTTCAACAGTTATTTAAGTATTATATGTTTACTTTTGTTTTATTTGAAATCTACTAATCTATCCTTTCCTTTCCTTAAATTGGTCTCTTGTTTATTTATTACTATATAATTTCCTAAAGCTCTTACCATTTAAGTTTAAGCTTGTCTAAATAAAAGTGACTTAATGAAGTGTGCTAAATATTGCTTTCCCAAACTTAATTTATTTATGACTTTTGGTGGGCTGTCGATTTTTTTTTTGATTCAGTTATTATGTATGCCTCATGTATTTACTCCTCTGTTTTCTTTTTCTTTTCTTGGATGCATGTGATGCTGAGTCCACTGGACTCCCCCTTTCTTCATTTGCATTGCATTTTTGAGTCTAGGAGGCTCAAATCTTATTCTTGTCGAGTCTGAAATTGATATACAGGGCCGGAGCAGATGTATACTTTAGTGTATACACCATATACAAGCATTGGAGGTGAAAACAGGTTGATATACAGCCCATATACAATCAGTATACACTGATATACAGGTTAAAATATAGATAGTACAGGGCGAAAGCGAAATACAGGTGTTCGGGAGCTGATTTAGGCTGTATACATTTGGCGTACAGTTTGATATATAGGAAAAGAGCCGAAATACAGGCTGTATACATTGGTATACAATCAGCGTATACACTGGCTTCTGGATACGAAAATGGGCTAAAGCCCATCCTTTTGCACAGCAGGTCCAGGCAACAGCAATGGATCAAAATGCCCAAAGAATATCCAGCAGTTGATTTTGATGGGTCAAAGCCCATTATTTTGGCTTATTATTAGACGTAGGACAGGTTGGGTCAAAGCCCAAATCTGACTTTGCTCTCCTCTTTTATTAATATTTGTTTATTGTATTAACTCTTAACTTTTTATCTCATTTGGTTAAATCTAATTAAATTCCCAAAATATAGTTGTTTCTTCCTTTATGTTTAATTGAAATATTTTTATATTTTTCAATATAGGAGCTATTTTCCTTAAAAATCCGTTTTTAGTTTATTTTTTTCCTTTCAAATAAAAATGAGTTTTCTTTATAAGTAAGTATTTTTAAAGTTAGTCAAATTTTAGTCGAGTCATAGCTAAACCACACGTTCGGACACTTTGAGTGTCTAATACGTTCTTGAAGTGTAAATTGAATTCCGAACCCCCCTTATTTTAAAATGATTTTTCTATTTATCTCTTTTGAAAATTATAAGTTTTTTTAATTTCTTAAAAAATTAAATTGCGACTCTATTTTCTTGAGAGGATGCCTAACCCAAGGAGGCCTACTCTTAGAGAACGTTTGAGCTGAGGATGTCTAACTTGAGGAGGCTTGACTTAAAGAACACTGGACCCAAGAACACCTCACCCGTGGACGCCTGACTCAAGAATGAGTTCACCTACAATGAGGACACCTGACTTGAGATTGCTTGATCGGAGAACGCCTGATCGGAAGACGCCTGACCCGAGAAAGCCTGGTCCGAGGACGCCTAACCCGAGAATGCCTGACTCGAGGAGGTCACACCAAGAATGCCTGACCCGAAAATGCCTGACTCGATGAGGTCATAACAAGAATGCCTAACCCGAGGATGCCTGACCTAAGGTTGCCTGACCCAAGAATGCCTAACCTGAGAACGCCTGACCCGATGATGCCTAACTAGAGGTCACACCCTGAGAACGTTTGACCCGAAAAAGTCACACCCTAAGAACCTCTGACCTGAGGATGCCAAACCAGAGATCACACCCGGAGAACACCTGACCCGAAAAGGTCACACCCTAAGAACTCCTGACCTGAGAATGCCTGACTCGAGAACACCTGATCCGAGAACGCCTGACCCGAGAATGCCTGACCCGAGAACGCCTAATCAGAGAATGCCCGACCAGAGAATGCCTGACCTGAGAACACCTACTATGAGAACGCCTGACCAGAGGACACACCCCAAGAACACCTGACCCGAAATGGTCACACCCTAAGAACCCCTGACCCGAGAACGCCTGACATGAGAACGCCTGACATGAGAACGCCTGACCCGAGAACGCCTGACCAGAGAATGCCTGATCCGAGAACGCCTGACCCGAGAATGCTTGAGCCGAGAACGCCTGACCCGAGGATGCCTGACCCGAGAACGCCTGACTTGAGAACACCTGATCCGAGAACGCCTGACCCGAGAATGCCTGACCCGAGAACGCCTAATCAGAGAACGCCTGACCCGAGAATGCCTGACCCGAGAACGCCTAATCAGAGAACGCCTGACCCGAGAATGCCTGACCCGAGAACGCCTAATCAGAGAACGCCTGACCCGAGAATGCCTGACCCGAGAACGCCTAATCAGAGAACGCCTGACCCGAGAATGCCTGACCCGAGAACGCCTAATCAGAGAACGCCTGACCCGAGAATGCCTGACCCGAGAACGCCTAATCAGAGAACGCCTGACCCGAGAATGCCTGACCCGAGAACGCCTAATCAGAGAACGCCTGACCAAACGCCTAACCCGAGGATGCCTAACCAGAGAATGCCTGACCCAAGAATGCCTGACCCGAGAATGCCTGACTGAGAACGCCTAATCAGAGAATGCCCGACCAGAGAATGTCTGACCTGAGAACACCTACTATGAGAACGCCTGACCAGAGGACACACCCCAAGAACACCTACCCCGAAATGGTCACACCCTAAGAACCCCTGGTCTGAGAACGCCTGACCCGAGGATGCCTAACCCGAGAATGCCTGACCTGAGAATGCCTGACCCGAGAGCGCCTGACTCGAGAGCGCCTGACCCGAGAGCGCCTGACCCGAGAGCGCCTGACCCGAGAACGCCTGACCCGAGAACGCCTGACCAGAGGATGCCTGACCCGAGAACGCCTGACTTGAGAACACCTGATCCGAGAACGCCTGACCCGAGAATGCCTGACCCGAGAACGCCTAATCAGAGAACGCCTGACCCGAGAATGCCTGACCCGAGAACGCCTAATCAGAGAACGCCTGACCCGAGAATGCCTGACCCGAGAACGCCTAATCAGAGAACGCCTGACCCGAGAATGCCTGACCCGAGAACGCCTAATCAGAGAACGCCTGACCCGAGAATGCCTGACCCGAGAACGCCTAATCAGAGAACGCCTGACCCGAGAATGCCTGACCCGAGAACGCCTAATCAGAGAACGCCTGACCCGAGAATGCCTGACCCGAGAACGCCTAATCAGAGAACGCCTGACCCGAGAATGCCTGACCCGAGAACGCCTAATCAGAGAACGCCTGACCCGAGAATGCCTGACCCGAGAACGCCTAATCAGAGAACGCCTGACCCGAGAATGCCTGACCCGAGAACGCCTAATCAGAGAACGCCTGAATAACTATTCCAAAAATGAAAAGTTCGACACAATTGTTATTTTTTGTTTGGAAGTAGAAGCAGTTACTAATTCATGATCGGGCATGTATAAGATGAAAAACTTCATTTTCAATTCTACGAGAATTTTTATGAAAGCAGTTTCATTTCTCATCGTGTGAAGTTTTTTTATTCACAGCTTCTAATTACTGATTTTCCTTTTTTTTTCTTGGGGTTTTATTCAATTCTTTTCTGGGATTTTATTTGTTCTATGTTACAATTTAAAAATTATGTCCAAGAAAATTAAAAAGTACAAGATCGTTATATACTCAATCTATATACTATATATTTGGATCATCAATATTTAAACTTTTACTACCGTCTACAAACCGTTTAAATTACGATTTTATTAGTCTAGTTTTTTTCAATTATATATATGTTTGGGTTCTTATGTATGAATTAGATATTACTTCTCTACTTGACTCTATTTGTCAATTGTACCCTCTTACTCGTCACTTTGTCAACTGAATCCTTAAACCTATTAGAACACAATATTTTAAACTCATTTTGACCATTAACCGAATTTATGTGATATTTATGTTGTTGAGCTGTAAACCGACGTGATTGCAACTCATTTAGAAGCGAGAAAATATGATATTTTTACATTAAAAATATTATTTTTTACAAAAATCAATTTAAAAGAATTAAAAAACCTATTTCTTCTTCAATCATCTCCTCCTCCCCCC